AGCGTGCGTGTGAGAGTGAGCGTGCGTGTGAGAGTGAGCGTGCGTGTGAGAGTGAGCGTGCGTGTGAGTGTGTATACTGATTTTATCAGCAGCATTGCAGAGGGAAGTGGCGACTGCTTGGGTTGACGCCGCCGAATAAATAAGTGGTACCTCTGAAAATGGTGCTGAATATAAATTGAACAATATTTATTTCTACTTTGGGTTGTAAACAAAGATAATTTCCCCACCCATTACTAATAGAAATATCATTTTCCCTATTCTGTACAAGGGGGAAACTTCAGTCCCACGATCCATTATAAATTTTCCATTGGCAACACTGGAAATTAATAAAAATTTGTAATAAAAAGAGAGCTTGGGTAGCATGGTAATATGTAAATCAGGTAAAGTAATAAAGGTAGAGGAGCGATGGGACAACCAGAGTAATTTTGTCACTTCTCTTTTAACTATATCACATTTCATATTTCATAATATCAAAACAATTAACTTATATTTTGAATACCTGTAGATCAATGTTCAAAGACACTCTTGTTGCCTTTGCATAGGCATCTTGAACATTTTGCAAAGCAGATTCAGCTGCCTCCTTAGCAGCTTCTTCTAGCATTCTCTGCACTGTTTGAAAAGGGTGAATGAAGTTCTAAAACAAAAAAGTTATCTATTTTATACATATTATTCAAAGCATTAGTCCCCCACAAATGCGAATTGACCACATACCAAGACGACCGACTTGGCTACCAAGAAAACTGAACAATGTTCTGAACACATTCCTGTGGCATTAACCCCTATGTAATATTTACATGCCAATACTTTCTCCCCTTCAACACACTGTATATACCAGAAAATAAGACAACTCTGAATATAAGATGATTTTCCAATTCTGAAGAGGTCTTCTGAGAATATTTTCACTCTTAACTAATTCTTACTACTAACTGTCAAAATAGGCAAATTGCCTTACTGATTAGAACATTGTTTTGTTGAAAAAGTTACATCTTCTTGCCTGAACCATCACTATTTACTTGCTTCCTTATAATCATCATTATCATGTTTTTAATCAAGATTATCCTCATCCTTGTGTTATCTGTCTCTTTCTTACTAGCTCCCCCATTCTAGGTTATCGTCTGACATTTTAGAACTTCCCTCATTTGATATTCTGAGCAGATTAATCACATGGGTCCATCTCTCTATTTGTTAATATCCACTTAACAATATTACAATTCACAGTACTGGCTCTATATAAGGTAATGTAAGTGATTGTTTGAAGTTGAGCTACAGGATGTTTTTATTTTCAGTCTTATAACAATGCTTCACACAATCCAACATATTTGCATGGGTCCAGCTAGAATACTTCAGTTTAATTTGAGTGTTGGAGACAAATAAATTTAAATAATATCTAATCACCAAGAAGAATGATAATAAAATTCATTCATTTTGATCAAAACACATTAATAACATCTGAGAAATATCTTATCACTTACCATTATTCGTGTAACAAACCAATTGAGAAAAAAGATGCGAATGGCAGAGGTCTTCAAACTCACAGCAATATCAACAGAGTCTGCATCCATCATTTCAGCATTAAACATTACTACTTGTATTGAGAGTGCTTCTTCTCCCATAACAGTTACAATCTATTCAGAAATAAAATATGCATGAGCAATTTACATAAACTACAATCTATTTCATATTTTATAAAAAAAATGATATCAAGAATTACAAACATCAACATTTCAGTATATTATTAAAAAATGCCAGAGAATGGTCATTCACTCTTCATACCTGAGCTTGAGAATTTATATTTAAAAATTAATCTAAGCCATTAGGTATGAAAAAATTATTTTCAAATAGCAATTTCATGGAGAAAAAAGGATGAGAGAGAGAGAGAAAAGGGAGAGAGAGGAAAGGGAGAGAGAGAGAAAAGGGAGAGAGAGAAAGGGGAGAGAGAGAAAGGGGAGAGAGAAGGGGGTGAGGGGAAAAAGGAGAGGGGAGTGAGGGGAAAAAGGAGAGGGGAGTGAGGGGAAAAAGGAGAGGGGAGTGAGTGGGAAAAGGAGAGGGGAGTGAGGGGAAAAGGAGAGGAGAGTGAAGGGAAAGAGAGGGAGTGAGAGGGAAAGAGGGGAAAGAGATGGGAGAGGGAGTGAGAGAATGGGGTAAGAGGAAAAAATGGGGAGGAGATAGTATGGGGAG